CCTCCGTCCTCCTCCTTCTCCCTCCTCCTCCCCCTCCTCCCTCTTCCATGCGTTTCACCCACCCAATACAGCGTTTCGTGGCCCCACACGGAACCCCACCCAAGGCCCCGAGGGGGGGGTGCCACATGAGTCCGCCACACCCAGTATGGCGATTCGCGCCCCCATAGGGAGCTCCACCTGAAACCCCTGAAGGGGGGGGGGTACCACATGCATTCGCCACACCCAGTACGGCGTTTCGTGGCCCCATAGGAAACTCCACCTAAAGCCCCATAAAAGGGGGGGTACCACATGCGTCCGCCACACCCAGTACGGCGTTTCGTGGCCCCATAGGGAACTTTACTCAAGGCCCCATGGGGGGGAGGGGTACCACATGCGTCCGCCACACCCAGTACGACGTTTCGAGGCCCCATACGGAACTCCACGTAAGGGTCCGGGGGGGGTACCACATGCGTCCAGCACACCCAGTACGGCGTTTCGTGGCCCCACAGGGTGCTCCACGAAAGGCCCCAGTGGGGGGGTACCACATGCGTCCGCCACACCCAGTACGGCGTTTCGTCGCCCCATAGGGAGGTCCACCTGAGGCCCCAAGAGGGGGGGGTACCGCATGCGTCCGCCACACCCAGTGCGGCGTTTCGTGGCCCCATGAGGAGCTCCACCTGAGGGCTCAGGGGGGAGGGGACCACATGCGTCCGCCACACCCAGTACGGCGTTTCGTCGCCCCATATTGAGGTCCACCTGAGGCCCCAGGGGGGGTACCACATGCGTCCGCCACACCCAGTACAGCTTTTCGTGGCCCCATCGGGAGTTCCACCTAAGACCCCAGAGGGGGAGGTCTACATGCGTCCGCCGCACCCAGTACGGCGTTTCGTGGCCCCATCGGGAGGTCCACGTAAGGCCCCAGTGGGGGTGGCCACATGCGTCCGCCACACCCAGTACAGCGTTTCGTGGCCACCCATCCAGTAGAGCGTTTCGTGTCCCCATAGGGAGCTCCACCGAAGACCCCAGTTGGACCGCCCGCATGCGTCCCGCACGCGCAATTTGGCATTTTCACCCACCCAGTACAGCGTTTCGCGGCCCCATAGGGAGCTCCACCGAAACCCCCAGTTGGACCGTCCGCATGCGTCCCGGAAACCGAATTTGGCATTTTTCACCCACCCAGTACAGCGTTTCGTGGCCCCATAGGGAAATCCACCGAAGCCTCCAGTGGGACTATCCGCGTGCGTCCTGGACACCCAATTTCGCATTTTCACGCACCCATTGCAGCGTTTCGGGGCCCCATAGGGAGCTCCACCGAAGCTCGCAGTGGGACCGTCCGCGTGCTTCCCACACACCCAATTTGTCATTTGTCCCCATAAGGGGGATCCACCAAAACCCCCAGTGGGACTGTCCGCGTGCGCTCCGGATGCCCAGTTTGGCATTTTCGCGCACCCAGTGCAGCGTTTCGTGGCCCCCTGGGGAGCCCCACCGACGGCCCAAGTGCTACCGCCGGCATGCGTTCCCCCCCACCCAGTGCAGCGCTTCGTGGCCCCATAGGGAGCTTCACCGAAGAAAATATTCACAATTGCGGTACCCACAACTGCATATGGTTGGGCGTTTCGCCAGGATCATTTCCCAGTCATCCTGTGGTGTTGGGTCCTCGTTTTGAACAGACATCGCCCCGCGTCTCCTTCCTCCTCCCGCTGCCCACCTCTCTCCTCCCTCCCCCTCCTCCCTCCTCCCTGCGATTCACCGACCCAGTACAGCGTTTCGTGGCCCCATAGGGAGCTCCACCCAAGGCCCCAGTGGGGGTAACCACATGCGTCCGCCTAGCCAAGTACAGCGTTTCGTGGCCCCATAGGGAGCTCCACCTGCGGCCCCAGTGGGGGTGGCCACATGCGTCCGCCACACCCAGTACAGCTTTTCGTGTCCCCATAGGGAGCTCCACCCAAAGCCCCAGTGGGGTTGGCCACATGCGTCCGCCACACCCGGTACAGCGTTTCGTGGCCCCATAGGGAGTTCCACCTGCGGCCCCAGTGGGGTTGGCCACATGCGTCCGCCACACCCAGTACAACGTTTCGTGGCCCCATCCAGAGCCCCACCAAAAGCCCCAGGGGGGTGGTCACATGCGTCCGCCACACCCAGTACAGCTTTTCGTGGTGCCGTAGGCGGTTGCACCCAAGGCCCCACTGGGGGTGGCCACATGCGTCCGCCACACCCAGTACAGCGATTCGTGGCCCCATAGGGAGCTCCACCTATGGCCCCAGTGGGGGTGGCCACATGCGTCCGCCACACTCAGTGCAGCGATTCGTGGCCCCATAGGGAGCTCCACTGAATGCCCCAGTGGGGGTGGCCACATGCGTCCGCCACACCCAGTACAGCTTTTCGTGGCCCCATAGGGAGCTCCACCCAAGGCCCCAGTTGGGGTGGCGCAGCGTTCCGTGGCCTTATAGGAAACTCCACCGAAGGCCCCAGAGGGGGTGGCCACATGCGTCCGCCACATTCAGCACAGCGTTTCGTGACC